GAACTCCTCCCACCCCATTTCCTCATCGTCCTCAACAGACATGGTGGTCATTCACCCAGGGGCCGTGCTGGCCATGGTGGACCTGCTGCCCTCCGTGTCCTCTGACAGCCAGCCAGAGGTGAGGAAATGAAAGGCAATGTGCTTCCTGTCAAAGTGGGTGAAGGGGTTCGATGGCAGACAGGAAGTGCCTTTTTTCAGTTGGGTTTGTCACGTCAGAAGGCAGCCAGACAGTGTGAGTCAGCTACATATGTGTGTTTTAGGGGAAAGGCAGTCGTATTGAATGATGACATGCAGGTAATAAACTTTCTAATCAGTGAATTGCCCAAAGCACCCTCTCACATTTACCTGATTTTGCTCATTTTTACCTCTTTACAGGGCGATTTAAACTAAACTTAAGTCTTAGTCTCGGTTTTAACATCTCGCTCTCCAACTTTCTGCTCCTCCCAGCATGCCCTCGACCTGCAGCTGGCAGTCGCCAACATCCTGCAGCTGCTGGTGAACAGCGAGAGGAACCAGCAGGTGTTGTGTGAAGCCTGCCTCCATCAGCGACTGTTGCAGCGCTGCAGCCAGGCCCTCAGCGATGAAGACCACCCTCTGCACCCGCCGCTGCAGAGGATGTTCGAGAGGCTGGCCTCGCAGGCCCTGCAGCCGATAGCACTCAGGTACTGAAGCTGGCCGTTTCGATAACATGATGCAGGCGCCAACAAAGCTAAACTGAGAAGCTTCAACACTGAAATGCTGCCCCAACAATGACTGTTTCAGATGATAATAAAGAGATTCAAATAAGAAGAGCATAAAAGCAAGACAACTCAAACAAATATTTAACTATTATTCATTTTTTTTTGAAAATCTAAATGAAGTTTCAGATGAAATCCTTGACTAACATCACAGAAACACACAAGGTCAGATTAGGTGAGTCTGGCTAACATCAGCGGTGCTATCACCAGCTGACACCTGCACAGTCCGTTTACTCCGACACAGCCTTTCTTTTTCCAGATCAAAGAATGCAGTCCCAGCTGGAGCCAATCAACATCTTCTATATTAATAAAATATGAATTATTAGTCTAACTAATTACTGTTTATACTACAACCTTAAACCCAACCTCAGACCCCCTTAACCAACATTACATCAAACCTTAAGTCAGTACAGGGCGTCCCTTTGCCTAAAATACCCCCAAATCTTTATGAGGCTTTCTCTCAGACTCTTAATTATAAGCACAATAAACCTCTGATGCACACTGTTTTATGAGGTACTTTACTGCTGATGGAACCGAATCAGCAACCAGGTTTAAATAGTGAACAAATGCATCACATGAAAACAGATTTATCTGTGGTGAAGTATTAGAGACAAAAGAGTAAAGGCAGTGCATTACTTTGCTTTACGAAGGTCCATCACTGTTAGACGGAGGTGGGATCTAAATCTCA